TGATAATGATAATGATAAACGATTATTTTAATTACGTGTTCCGCTAATTGTAATAAATAAAATATTTATCGATAAAATTTTTTTCTCCAGCACAATCGCCATTTTATAAAAAAAAATATGTAAAAATAAAAAAATTCCAGTCGACATTATCTGGATCGCATTTATTTTACGTGTTAACATTTTTTTTTTTTCCTTTTTTTTACATTCCATAAAAAAATTTTAATAATGTAAAAAGCTTCCAGGTGCAAAATAGGAAAAAAAAATAAAAAAAAAAGGGAATGAAAAATTTTTACCGGGTAGGGAAGAAGGACGCCATCGATGAGAGAAAGAGAAAGAGAGGCAGAAAGAAAGAGAGAGAAAGAAAGAGAGAAAGAGAAAATGTAGAAAAAAGGAGGAAAACTTTCAACTCTTCCAGTCCATAATTTTTTTTTCTTTTTATTTAATGTTTTATTTTCAATTTTTCTCCAGGCCTGGAAATTTTTTTTATTTTTTTACTTTATATATATATATTTTATCGTAATCCTATTTTCCAATTTTTTCTCCCTTTTTAAACTTTAATAATCTTTCTTTTTGTTTTGACAAGACTAAATTCGATACTTTTTTTTTTTTTACTAATACTAAAGCAATACATTAGCCATCTTTTTCCTCCAGTTTTTTTCCATTCGTTTTCCCTTCCTTTTCACTTGCCCCTCCCTTCCCCTTCCTCTTCCCCTTTCAAATAAAAAACATTTTCGTACGTTAAAAATCCGAATTAAAAAAACCTTTTACGATACAATTATTATTATCATTATTATTATTAAACTTTCGTTCCTTTGTCAAATATTGATTATTCCAGTTTTAAGATTTAAATAAATAAAAAAAAAAAAAAAATATTTGTCGAAAAGTATTTTCATCTTTTGTTTGTGTAAACACTCGAAAATAATAATAATAATAATAAAAACTCAAGAGAGATGAAGAGAGAAAGAAAGAGAGAAATGAAGAGAGATGGATGAAGGATGATGATGATGATGATGATTTACTGATTAGTCAGATTCGTTCCATTTGTTGATGATTCCAAAAAGAAAAAAAAAAAAAAATTTCGTTCTTTCCTTTCCTTTTTTCTTTTTTCCCCCCTTCCCGCCCTTCCCCCCGTTTTTTTTCTCCAGTTCAAATATTTACGTTTCGAATTTAAAAAATTAAATAAATAAAAAAAAAAGAAAAGAAAATTATTTCCATGAATAATACATCGAGAAAAAAAGAAAAAACGAGAGAGAGAGAAACGAATGGAAAAATGACCGAAACAAAAAAAAAAAAAAGAAATGGGAGATAGAGAGGAAGGAACCGGAAGGAGGAAGGGAAAGGGAAAAGAAATTCGAAAAGGAAGTAAAAAAAAAAAAAAAACAGGAAACGATGAAAATTTCCTCCCCCCCTTTTTTCCTCTTCCTCCTCCTCCTCCTTCGGAGAGATGAGAAAGTAAATAATTGATAAGGAAAAGAATAGATAATAATTATGTGGGTGTAAAAAAAAAGAAGCAGAAGACAACAAAAAAACAAGGGGTGGGAAACGGAAACGGAAACGAAAAACAAAAAAAAAACATGAAAAAATTTTTCAAAATTAAAATAATTAATCATCCCAGTAGTAATAATAGTAATAATAATAGTAATAATAATAATAATAATACCTGGAAAGAAGAAGAAAAAAGAAAAAGAAGAAAAGAAAAAGAAGAAGAAAAATTGAAAATTTTTAAAAAAAATTTTCCCCAGGGTAAAAATTTCCTTTTAAATAAAAGTATCCATTCTCATTTATTTCATTTTTACCAACCTTTGAAAAAACGAAAAAAAAGAAAAAAAAAAAACTTTTTTGATTAGTTTTTTTTTTTTATTCGTCTTCTGCTTTTCCAAACAATAACAAACACAAACTACCGAAAAAAAGAAAAAAAAGAAAAAAAAAGGTTTTCTGTTTTGTTCATTTTCTTTTTATGTATACATCTATCCTTTTCTGACACTTTCCTTTTTTTTTTCTCTTCGTTCCATCCAAAACAATATCCAATTTTTATTTTATTTTATTTTATTTTTTTTTTTTTTTACAAATAATGACCGAAAGGTCAAATCTTTTTTTTCCTTTTTTCCGATTCCTTTTTTTATTTTATTTCCCTTTTTTAAATTGATTTAAAATCAATTTCAATATCAATTTTATTTCATTTTCATTTTCATTTTCTTTTCCTTTTTTTTCTCATTATATATATAAAATATTTATTTTTCATTTTAAAAAAATTACGATTGTTTGTCGTTTGTTGTTTGTTGTTGTTGTTGTTGTTGTCGTCGTTACGCTCGTTTAATTCAATTTACAAACGCCGTAAAAAAAAAAAAAAAAAAAAAGAAAACACCGGAAATCGTTATTAATTATATTTACAACCGTTACAAAAAACTTTTTTTTTTTTTTTGTCGCCATCTAATTATTCAAAGTCGTTATAATAAATCTTTGACTGACGCCTTGACGATTCGTGTTAATTCGTGACATTTCGTGACGCCTCGTGTGACGCGTCATTTTACACATAAAAAACAAATTTTCCTTTTTTTTTTTTTTTTTACTACATAAATGAATCCTTTCCAGTCCGATTAATTTATCGATTTTCCAGAATCAAATAGAAAAAAAAAATTTTTTTCAATAGTATTTTGGTTTTTTTTCTTTTTTTGTGAATAAAAATAAATCTTTTTGGGTACATTGAACAAAACCATAAAGTTTCCAAAAAAAAAAAAAAAAAAAACGACATTATTCAAACGAGAGAGAGAGAGAGAGAGAGGGAAAATAAAATTGTTTCAAATCTTTTGTAACGAAAAAAATTCAACGTCGTCGTCGTCATCGTGAACGTCTCTGGAGTTTTAACGATTACGTCACAAACGGTAAAATTAAATCAAATTCGACGAAAAAATTTTTTTTTTTTTGGAACAAGAAAATTTTTTACCCTGGAGAAAAAAAGAAAGTAAGAGAGAGAGAGAGAGAGAGAGAGAGAGAGAAAGACAGAGAAAGAAAAAGACAAATTCGAAAAACAACGTATTTCTCAAGTTTTTTATTACCCCCCCTCACCCCTCGCCCCCCACCTACCTCCTATTTTTGTTTTTTTTCAATTTTCTTTATTTAAATTACGTTTTCTTTTCATTTCTCCAAAAAAAAAACTTTTCCCTTTTTTCTTCTCCAGGTTTTTGTTGTTGTTGTTTTTTTTTTTTGGAAATCCAGCGGGAAAATAAAATTCAATCAAATTATCATCATCATCATCACCATCAACATTCTTTTCTTTCCAAAAAAAAAAAAAAAAAAAAAAAAACTTAAAATGGAAAACGAATTTTCCAAAAAAAAATTTCCCCAAAAAAAAAAAAAAAAAAAAAAAAAACAGGAAATCGATTTCACTCCAGTAAAATTAAAAATTTAAACATCAACCGCGTAAACGTTTCAAAAACAAAAAAAAAACAAAATGGCGGAAAGGTATTATTATTATTACTAACACAGTTAATATTAAATAAAAATTAGATTAAAAGTTTTCCTCAATTTCCTCAAGTTTTCACGACGGAAAAGATTAGTTTCTTAAAAAAAAAAACAAAAAACCCCAAAATTCTGGAGAATAAAAAATCTTATTCTCCAGTCAGTTTAAATAAAAAAAAAAAACGTAATTGGATAAAAAATCATTAATAATAATATTAATAATAATAATAATAATAATAATAATAATAATAATAATAATAATAATAATAATAATGATAATAATAATGATAAAATTATTCATTGACCCGATACGTGGAAAATGTGGAAAGTTTCAGACATATGTAGGGATTTAAAAAAAGGTTCAAATTCGTTGTTAAGTTTCAAATTACCATAAAATTGAAAATGGAAACTTTAATTGTTGGTTGTTCCCTCGAACAAACAAACAAACAAACAAACAACCGGAAAACAATCACGTGGTTTATTATTGTTTACTTTTCTTGTTCTTTAATAGGAAATCATCATTCATTTTACCTTTGATTATTATTATTACGAATAATTAACGAACCTTTTTCAAAAGACAAAGTAACCCTTTGTAAAAAACACGTCAAAGGAAAAAAACAAGTTTGATAAAATGGTAGAAAAACAAAGGAAAATGATAAAAAATAATTAAGTTGTCTTACCTGTTTTTGTCGATGCAATGAAAACTTTGACGATTCTCGGTCTCGACCATCTTTTCTTATTGAAATTCCCGTGTAAAACGTCGTCAACAATTTCTTGATCCCCCATTTTCTTTTTTTGTTTGTTTCTTAATTATAAATTTTTTCTTCTTGATAATACGTAATAACTTTACTACTAAAATTAATTTTTTTTACATTTTCTTTTTTCTTCTGCTTTTTAAATAAATTATTATTATTATTATTATTATTATTAAGTGAAGATTGTCAAAGGTTTCGGTTAATCGCCACGTTTAAATATTGCTGCTGAGATTAATAATTTTTAAAGTCAGGTACGATAAATTATCATTTTAAATAATTTCATTTTTTATCATCATTATCATCATCATCATCATCCGGACGCCATATTTGTTTTTTTTTTTTTTTTTTTTTTTATTTTCTTCTCATCCCTGTAACAAAATAAAAAATAAGAAAAAAATTAATTTTTATTAATTAAATTCGCACCGAAAAAGAAAAAAAAAGAAAATTCCTTTTTTAATTTTCCTCTCTTCTTTTCTTTTCCTTTTTTTTTTTAACGTCATGCAGGGTTACCAACATGACAAATGCAATCGTGTTTATTATTAAAAAACTAAAAAAAAAAAATTTTTTTTTTCAAAAAAGAAAACAAAAAAAAAAATCGTTAAAACAAAAGCAAAAATTTTTTTTTGCGTTTTTTCTATTTTTTTTTAAAAATCTAGTGCCACGTTATTATTATTATCATTATTATTATTATCATTTCTGATATTACCACGTCAAAATTTTTTTGAAAATAAACGAATGAGTTTAAAAAAAAAAATTTCTCATATTAACTATGAATTTCGTCGGAAA